AGAGTGACAGTCCTCCTGAGACGCCTCCCTTCTCAGAGTCTCCAAAGCCTGTATGCTCCACGGCTTCTCCCTTGAGTGGGCAGCTGATCCAATTATTTATTAATGATCATAGACCACACACAGCAAGGAGGATGTTATTTTAATGAATTTATATTGGAAGTCCTGCCACTGGGGCTGAGCACTTGATTAGCTAATTGCGGTTAATACTTCAAGTAGCTTATCCAATAGCCATTATCCCATTCTTTCGTAGTAACAGAACCCCAAATTTAATCCATGTGGCAATACGCCCAGCCAAAAGACTTTATTTGCAAACTCCCCTATGCTAAGGGTGGCCAACAAGGTGTAATTTGGGGGGGGGGTATGGTTTTGAGAAATCTGGATTGGGCAGCAACACTTGAGGCATTTGCTTGCTCTTCTGTCTCAAAATTTCTTGTACTTTCTGTGGGAAATACAGACCCAGGGACCAAATCTCCAGCTGTCACCTGGGAATGTAGAAGGGTATGACAGATGGCTGTATCCTTTAAAGTTCTCTCCTGCTATTATGTGGGTTCCAGGGATTGAACTCAGGCTGCCAAGCTGAGCAACAATGACCTTTACCCTCTGTGCCATCTCAGTGGTCCCCAAATCTTGATTTTAAACATAATGGATAATATGATATGCTAAATTGATATGACTTTCACAGCCTGGAAGATCATTCTTTTGTAACTGAGATAGCTCTCACTTACTAGTGATGGCTGTGGCCTTTGAACGGATTGCTTAAGTCTGACCCTGAGTGTTTGTGATTGAGTAAAACAATATCAAACTGCTGGGAGTATTCTCCGGACCATAGAGTGTCACTTAAAATAGTTACAGCAGAGAAGGACATAAGAAAGAATTTGGTTTTTCACATTTATTTGTATTTATGTGTTCATATGTATCTGTGTGTGTGGGTGTATGCCACATATGGGGAGTACCGTCAGAGACCAAAGAGGGTATAAGATTCCCTGGATGTGGGGTTAGAGACAGTGACAAACTGCCGAATATAAATGCTGGGAATTGAACTCGGGTCCTCTGATAGAGTAGTAGGTACTCTGAACTCCTGAGCCATTTCACTGGCCCCAGGAATAAAAATTTATCTTCTCTTCCATCTCATGTTTCTTAGTTTGTTGTGCCCTTAAAATGCACCCTTGAAAACAAGTGGAAAACTCTTGGATAACGAACACTTTAGCCAGTGTTTCACTTCCCTTTGTCCTCAATTATTTGCCAGCACATTCCTCCTGATGTCATCCCTTCATCTTCCCTACAAAACAGACACAGGATACAAAACTGAACTGTAAAGGAAGTCAGCCAACAAAATAAAACATATCTTTAGCCTGTCTTCCCTACATATGTTTCTTAAAATTATTACTTAATAAAGGCCAACAGAGAATAAAAAGGGATTCAACTTAGGCGGGAGAGATGGCTTAGTGGGTAAAATGCTTGCCGCACATGCATGAAGACTTGAGTTCCAAAGCCTAGAACTCAGGTCGGCAATCCCAGTGCTTGGAGGCAGAGGCAGAGAATTACTGAGATTATTACAGAGATAGCAGGACAGTTGAATGGTGAGGTGAGGGTGGAAGACAAGACCCTACATCTAAGTTGTCTCCAGCTTTCATTGTATGTCACATTTATATACTTGAATACACACACAAACACACACACACACATCATACATGTACAGATCACATATACACAGACACCTAACACACAGAGACACTTGTACTATACACATTTATATATGCATACATGTCATACATACAAATCACACTCATATACCACACACACACACACAACCGCATACACCAGACACACACACACATGCACAGATACCATACATACATACATACAAATGCATAAACCAGACAAACACATGCACACACATACACACACAGACACCACACACAGAGACACACCACACACACTTATACACATACACACATCATACATACACAAATAACACACAGATACCACATACACACACAAACATGCAAATGTTAAAAAAGATCATCTTAGTCGAAGGTCAACCCTTGACTTTTCTCCAGCATACATTTACTTAGGTAGGATACGGTGTCCCAAGTGATAAGGCATGCTGTTCTATCTGTTCATCCTAGCCACAGTGACAAAGCCCACGATAATAACCAAGAATTCCCAGCAGCCTCTCTGAAGTCACACTCCATTTCTCAGTGAAATACTGTGCTATCATTACTCAGGAGCACAACCCAGGTCTCCGTTGCAAATGTAAGAGTATAGATTCAGGTTCATGCACCTATGTGCCCATGAGAAGCTAACTATCCTTAACTAACTAATTAATTAATTAAAGGTATTTATTCCATGACCAAATGAGCCAATGCTCAGAAAGAAGACAGCATTAAGTCTCATATAATGACAGTCAACATATTGATCATCATCACTACCATTTCTTACAGTTGAAGAATTGTGCCATATTGTTAGCATCAACTCTAGAACTCCGCCCCCATGCCCCTCAGACCCAACAGAAGTTTAACTTTAAGGCTTAAGTAGACAAAAAGACAACGTGGCCAAGCCATTTATTTCTTATCTCTCTGGAAAATTCAAAATGATTTTCTTTAAAAGATGTGACAGCACTGAAGATGTAGCTAATTCGGTAGAGTGCTTCTCTCCCACGCTGCGGGGCTCACATCTGTAATCCCAGGACTCAAAAGATGGAGACAGGAAGATGAACTATTTGTGTTTCACTGCATAGTTTGAGGCCAGCCTGGGATGCATGACACCACATTTCAAGAAGTGTGTGTGTGTGTGTGTGTGTGTGTGTGCGCGCGCGCGCGCGCACGCGCGTGTAGGGGTGAGAACTGAGGCAATAGATTGGGAATCACAAAAAAAAGTAAGTTTCTTTCCAGTAGAATTTAGGAAATGTTGTCAATTCAATCTAAATTATATTAGTGAAGAGATGTTCATTTGTAATCCACCCCCAAGGGGCCAACATGGGACCTTAGTTGAGATGCTCACCTACCCATTTCATCTCAATTACAATGCCTGCCCCTTTTGCTTTTAGTGAAACTGCAGGAAGTTGTTTGTAAGGAACCTGACATGGGAGCTATAGCGCTCTCTCTCTCTCTCTCTCTCTCTCTCTCTCTCTCTCTCTCTCACACACACACACACACACACACACACACACACACTTCAGTTATGTATTTTGTTCATTTCTCTGCCCACCAGTAAGGTTCCTCTTGCTATCGGGAAGAGAGGAAGGATCTGATGGGAAAATCAGGAATAGAGTACACTGTACATTGGGAAAGAGGTTAAAACAAAGGCGAAAGAAAAGCTGGTCCAGGGCAGTAAAAACACAGACAGTCTCTGCTTTGTATACACAGCTTTGCCAGTCCTGATGCTTTCAGCCTGGCACCTTGCTGCTGTCTGGAGGGAGCACTTCAAAGCCACACCCAGGCCTGAGATCTCAGCGTACAATAATAGTCCCTTCTTCCTGCTACCTCTTATACCTCTGACATAAGAAATAATCTGAGGCCAGACCTAAAATTAACCAGAAAAAAAAAGTTTTTAATGAACGGTCTTAGCCCAATGACTTGTGGCATTTGGAATTAGGATGTCCCCTCCTTCAGAGCATGTGAATGACTTTGCTAATGATTCACCCAGAATTCATGGAAGGAGGATGCCACTGAAGAAGAATAAGTGTTACAGATATTTCTTTCACTGCTGACGGTTCAAAATCTCCACATGCAGGAGTCATGACAAGAGGGCACTCCTGCGCAGACTCTCAGGGCTCCCCTCATTGCTCTTTCTTGATAGAAACTCAAGATACTCCTGAACTTGACTTTGATAAAGTCTTTCTTTACTCTGAAGTCCATCCATTTACAAGTGAGGCTTCCAAGTTGAAATACTCACCTGACGTAAGAAAAGTGTCGCTATTGGCCTCTGAGAACGCTGTCAATCCTGATTATTGAGTAATGGTAAGAGTGGTCTCCTAACTCCCACAGCTAAGAGGAAAACTAGAGCTACTAATCATTTTCTTCCATGGTAGCTTTGACCAGAGACACCACGCAAAGCAGCACTGTGTCGCTGAGTCAACACGATATTCTGTTGGACTCTGCCATTGCCCAAAACCATCTGTCTATAGGCTTCAAGATGCAAGGGAGCTGTGCTGGAAGTCAAGGGCAGAGGGCTCCCGCCCTCATTTTAAAGCAAAAGATACCACGCCCCAGTGGGCTGGTATCTCAAAGGCTATTGGCTGAAGGAGCAAAAGGAGCTCCCTCAGCAGTCAAGGGGCCTTTGCAGGAGAAACTGAAAATCTGAAGTGTAAATTACCATTAGGAAAGAGGTCATCTACTAGGAAAGAGGGAATCATAAGGATTTTGGCCAAAGGTTTGCTAAGTGACTCATGGCAACTGAAATTCACCTGAGGTTCCCCCCGCCCCCACCTCAGGACAGGGCTTGCAATTTCTCCTTTGTACTCCTTCCCAAGTCCCACACAAAGCTAAACATCAGCTACTCTGCCAGACTGGGACACTAGTGACCACATATCAAATGAGTTCCATCTGTAATCATAGCTCCGTCGACAACTACCCAAAGGTTTGCAAATGTCAGCGAAACTCGAGACTACCCTGGCCTTGGGACTGGGCTGGCAGCAGAGGTTGCCCACACTTGTGGCAGCCTTACCGAGGAAACATTCTCGCTTGCTAAGTCGGTCTTCGATGGCCAGTGCGTTCAGAAAGCAGGAATGGAAGAGACAGCAAAGACACAGGAGGCAGAGCGAAAGATGAGAATCGAGAGATAACCGACTCGATTTCAGTTTCTAAAAATACGATTTTATCATTCTAGAAATATAACTTTCTGAAACTTTGGATGGAAGCCCACTCATTCCTCCAAGGTATCACTATTACAAAGATCTCCGAGATTTTATGTTAAAAGAAAACGTAAAATAGCTGATACTTTTGCCACAGTCTGGGGCTGTAACCATACATGGGTCACGGTGCCAGACAGTTGAACAGAAGAGTGTTGGCCATGAAAAATTGAATGCTGGGAAAAAGACTCTGGAACAGTTTTCACTGTGAAGTATCATTTAATCTTCTAAAGTACTGGTGTCTTCGTGGGCTACATGTTATGTCAGTGTATGCCAAAAAGTGGGTATGGCTTGTAGGAACTTGGCCACTCCCCCAAAGTCTGTGCCAATGATGGTCCTTTGGTTCTGCTATTATGAAAACAAATACCTGCTAGCACAGTGAAATGAGGCCAGAAGAAAAAGAAGAAGGCAGGAAAAGAGTAGGCGTTTCTTATCATTACCATCTAAAACATTGAATCCAGTATCAAATCTATATTGGATTGAAATAATCAGTAGACAACATTATTATTTGAAGAGGTGCTGGTCATGTCCTTGCACATTACAATAGTCTCATCTAGAAAAAAAACTGTGGGATGTATTCGTCATCAGGAATACAAGGACAGTTTGGTCGCTAAGTAAATACAGGTGTCTTACGTTCGTATCCGGTAAGTAGAGCAACCACAAATGTGAAGGCTTTGGTTAATGAGTTAGGAAATATTTGTGGAGACAGTAGGAAAGGAAAGGTTGGCCCCCAGAGAACTGTCTTAAGTCCTGAGGGCTTGTGTTTTATCTATATATAGATAAGCCTTGCTTCTTCCCTTTTCCCTACTAGACTGCCGGGCCAAAGCAGTCTCTGAAAATGTTAGTGGATTGATTCATTCCTGGATAAAAGAGAAAGGTTAAGACAAAGCCAAAGTGAATAAAGTTTTCAGTGTGAATGTTTTGTTTTATGGACCAGCTTTTGACATATGTCTTACCACTTAGGACACATGCCCTGAAAATTGCAACGTATACTGCATTTTAAAACTCAAATACCTGTTAAAGGCCCACACTGCTAACTCTCGAGTTATTATTCATGCCTATAACTTAATGGATTCCACAAATCACTTCTTTATTTTTCTTGGTGAATATTGCTGATGCTTACAAATGAGTATCATTTACCACCACCATGGCTCCCACCCACCACCTCCACCACCTCCTCGGGAGCCAAGGCCCAAAGCTATAAATATAGCAGACTGCTGTTAAGAGACTCCCTCCCTCCTTCGCTTCATCCCCCAGCCTGTAATGGATTTCTCTTTTTACAGTGTTAAAAGAATCAGTTAATCATTGGGTCAACCATTGATCTGAATGTCTTTCATTTGAAATCATTAGTCTGGAGAAATTGAAAAAAAAAGGAATACAAAAGAGCAAATAAATCAAGGAAAAATTACAACAGGTTTTTACGAAGTTTGGGTGGAGTGGAAAAAGTGATCTTGGCTTAATTACGTAAGCTTAGTCATAAGATGCAGGAAGCAGTGGTTTTAAAAAGCCCAAATGGGGCTGTGTTTTACACACACACACACACACACACACACACATACATACATGCACATATATTTTAAGTTATTCATTTCTATAACATCATTCCATGTGGGCTACCAGGTAAAACTTTACCAAATAAAGACCTTCATATGCAATGTTAGAAGTCACGCTGTCTCAGAAGGCTCAACTGTCACAAGATACGTTTCTGCACAGTCATGAACGAGAAGGTCTTCACAGGAAGCAGATGCTGCAAATCTGGGTGCAGATTGCCTGAAGGAAGAAAGACAAGATGATCTAACGAGTCTGGATTTCCTCTTTATCATTACATCTTTTTTATACTTGCTTGTTGAGTCACATATAGCCGGGTTTTATGTGTCCAAGTCCCTACCAGCTCCTGTGAGTTTAAAGTCCAAGCCTTTCTTCTATAGCTCGAGTCAGTCTTACCCACTACATTGTTAAGTTGCTCCTTCCATCACTGAACAGTGGTACCTCTTACGTTCAATACCCTACACTTGCTGATACTCTTTTCCAGTTGACTTTCCAATCTGAGTACAGTTATATCGTCTCCATACGGTCACTCTCCCAAAATTGCTGAACACATCCTTCTGTGGAGATATCTTAGCATCGGGGGTTATAGGAATGATGCAATGGCCTCTATCTATATTGTAGTAAATAATAAAGGACCTTGATTTACATCTTTTATCTCTTTAGAGAATTTAGGGTAATTAAACATCCTGAAACTGTGGGTAGAATTTTTTAATGATGCCTGTATGTATTTGTTTTGGAGAAACAATAGTCAATGTGTCATTTATGAGCCAATTCACACCTTAGACTAATGAGAGGAAAAGAGTATAAAAAGAGTATGATGTGTGTGTGTGTGTGTCCATGTATATATGTGTATAGTATGTGTTCCCAACAGGTATGTGTTTATAATGCATGTGTGCTTGTGCACGTGAGTGCGAACCTATGCCAGAGATTTATTTCTAATAAATAGGCTCACATAATTACAAGAGCTGGCTAATCAAAAGTCTTCAGATAAAATTACTGTCTAGAAATAAAGTTAAAAACATAATGAGGTCACAGTCTTAAGCCTGAAAGCCATGGGGCTAACTGCAACCTGGATACTCAGACAGATTTCAGGGTTACAATCCAGAACCCTCTCCAGGTCAGCAAAGCCCACCTTTTTCTTAAGTCCTTCAACTGACTGGATAAGGCTCATGTACATAATCAAAAATAAGTTCTGCTACCCAACATCATCTTATCGCAAAGGTCCAACATATCTCTGAAGCAGTGTTAGAGCAATCTCTACATTAGTGTTTGACCAGAGCCCTGCTGAACTGGTACTTAAAACCAGTGTGTCAAACATGGACATTTTATCATTCACTGCAATATAGGTGCTGGCGTACAGCCTTCCAGAGAAAAGCTTCTGTCTCCTTGCACAAGGCTGAGCTCCAATAATCACCCACTGATAAGCATGAATGCTAAGGATTTTTGTTGTTGTTGTTGTTGTTATTGCTTTTTATTCAGATATCCTTGTTAGGCTGATCTTGAACAGTTTTTGAATAAGTCTTGAATAGGCTCAATTATATGAGCCATATTTGGAAAAAACAACAATATCAGTTTGGTCCAGGGAGGAGAACACCAGAACCTAAGAGATACTGACGTGGGATTCCCCTCTGTGTGCTGTGATACCAATGGTTAATAAAGAAATTGGTTTGGCCTGATAGGATAGATTGGCGTAAAAATGTAAACTGAATGCTGGGAGAAAGAAGGGCAGAGTCGGGGTGAAGCCATATAGCCTGCCAGAGACAGATGCTGGGAACTTTATCTGGTAAACCACAACCACGTGGCAATACACAGATTAAAAGAGGTGGGTTAAATTAAGATATGAGTTAGCCAATAAGAGGCTAGAGCTAATGGGTCAAAAAGTAATTTAAATAATATAGTTTCTGGCGTGATTATTTCAGTTCTGGGCAGCTGGAATAAACAAGCGGCCCCCTCCATCAAGATACCGTTTTAAAATGAGTAGAAAAAAAAAATAGACAATCACTTTGGGACAAACTTGGCCCCAGGAATCAGCATGTATTTCACAGAGTTCAGTCTGGGGCCCTGGGCAGGAATAACCACACTGTTTTCCTTTTCAGGTTCACTGATGAAATTTCACAATACTGATTTGAGCAGTTACATGAAGTTCATAGTTTGAATAAATGATGGCCATCATCACATGTGAAGATCCTGCCATTCCCCAACACTAGGAGGCTGCTATGGGAAAACTGAAGGTCCGTATGCTGAGGGTGGTAGAAGTAGATTAAATCTATCACGGGACAGGATTGGCTCACCTGCCCAGTAGCCGCGGGACTTCCTGGGAGCTAGTTGAAAGAGCTCACTCTCAAAGGCCACTCTAGACATGCTTCAGTGAGTTCATATTTCAATAAGGTCCCAAGGTGAGGGACATGTACATTTAAAAGCAAGAACTTAAAAGTACCCTGAGTACCGTCTTTGGTAGGAAGCGCTGTCTTGCATCATTTCTCGCTTTCAATCTCTAGGATGTTTTCTACATTTGAAAGGAAGACTAAGCTCAGCTAGCTTATTTCTGCTTTAACAGAATACCCACACTGAATGCAAGAGACAGTCAGTGTTCGGGCAGTGTTTCAAGTCGTTAATCTCTTCTCAACTCTCTTTTTATGTATTTCTCGTCCCTTAGGTAAAGGGGGAATCCCCAGAGGAAGTTCAAATTTCATGGGACTGAGATCAAAATTTCCTAACTGTGTGTGTAAGTCAACCAGTCATCATAAAACGTGAGGAAAGAAACAGCTAGAATTAGACTTTGCAAATCTAGTAAATGTGGATCCTGTTGTTTTGTGCACTGGAGGAAGCAAAGGGAATGAGATAGCTAATACAAAGTAATTTTTATCAGCCTAGTTAGCCATATGAAGCAGGAATAAATTTCGTTTTGTTTGAAAGTGAAATTCTATACCTTCTGAGATTATATGCCAGAGAGAACCAGAGCAGGAAGACTGAACAGGAGTGAGTCAAGGAGAAAAATCAAGGTAAGAAGTGATAAAACGAGGGCCAATTTCACTTTGCACATTGTTTGCAGAAGACCTAAGCAAAAGTGACAGATAGATTAGATAAATAGATAGATAGATAGATAGATAGATAGATAGATAGATAGATAGATAGACAGATAGATAGACAGATAGCAGATAGATGATAGAGTAGGTAGGTAGGTAGATACAGAGAGAGAGAGAGAGAGAGAGAGAGAGAGAGAGAGAGAAATCGACAGATTAGTTTTCATTTCGGGTTTTTTCAAGATAAGGTTTCTCTGTGTAGCCCTGGCTGTCCTGGAAGCTGCTGTATAGACCATGCTGGCCTCGAACTCCCAGTGATAAACCTGTCTCTGCATCCTGACTGTGAGATTAAAGGCATGTGCCACCACCAGATGCAAAAGTAATATTTTTAAAGTGCTTTAGCAGTGACTAACCCTGGCATTTGAATTCAGACATATCGAGACTTGAAATTCACTCATGTTTCCTAATCGTGTCTTCACCAGCCACTCCGCATTGGTTCTCTTAGCTAAGATGATCATTACACACAAGCTTAGAGTTAATTAAAGGAGATTAGGGGTGAAACATTCATCACAATAAACAACAAATAATATGAGGCTCATTAAATGATAGCTCTGTTGTTATAATTAGACGTAAATTATGTCTAAATCTTGACAGGGCCATTTAATTCTCAGAAATTAATTTCTTATAAAGGTATACCGCATGCAACTATAAAAATGAATGAATTCAGCTTCAGGAAAAGCTGTCAGTGTTTGCAGATCTGCTTAGATAAAGGTTTGGAGTGACAGAGGTCAAAGTACTATCGAAATGAATATGATAGTCTGAAGATGAGTCTAAACTTTTTCCTGGTAACTTAAACAGTGGATAGGCACTTTATTTCTCTCTGATCTAATTAAAAGGATTTTTTGAATTAAAAAAGCATTTGACTGTTGCATTGTGTGAACAAGATTGTTCCATCAGCCCAAAGGTGACAGGGAAGAATGTAATTATCGTATCAGTCTGTCACTGAAATGAAATGGACATTTCCCATCTCTATTCAAATTTAAAAACATCATGTAAGGCAGTGTTCTGAATACCACTGGTAGATTTGGAAGGCTCTGAAGGGGAAAATACACATTTTCAAACAAGGTGGGCTATTTACAACTTATTTTAAGGAAGAATGTAGATAAAATGGGAAAAATTAAGAAATTTTTGAACACAGCGATGGCACTCCGAGGAACTGACAACTGGGTGTGTGAATATGTGAAGACAAAGTGTGGGATATGGGCAGTTTCAGAGATGGGAAAGTTATGAATGTTTCCTGACAGGGAGAGGCTACTGAGCAAGGACGTGACCATGAAGAGCTGTGTCGGAAGCAGAGGGGAGATGATGACCGAGTTTCACCTTGCCCAGGGTTCTGACGTGTGTTGATCTTAGGGTTTGGAGCAGCTGTTTATCTGAATGCCCAGAGAAACATGGTGTCTGTCAAGCTGGCTTCACAGGGAGCATTAGGAAAGGAAACTGTCTTTTCCCAAATAGTGTTTTTATTAACCAGAGACTCATCCAATGTAAATAGTCCGGCTACAGAAAACCTGTCAACTTTCAAGACTCGATAACAAAGGATCACGTCACATCGACACTGAACGATGGCAATGTCATAGTGAACAAACAGAATCAGATTTACCTTCTACAGTCTGACACAGTGTCTTCTATCTGGGGGAATAAACCTCAATGACTTGAACAAAAAACTGAAAGAATTTTTCTCTCTGCCCTTGTATTAAAAACAGTTTTTTTAAAAATAATTAAGTAGAAATAAAATATTTCTAGTTCAAATGCTCAAGGCTTTCCTAGATTAATGATATAACAATATCATTAATATGTAATAATATGATATGTGAGCCTGCCTGGGAAGGTCAAAAAAAGTAAAGAGATGTGAAGATTCGTAGCACAGACTTACTAAATTTTAAATTTTGATGTTAAAAAGAGTTCAAGAGACAAAGCGAAGCTAACACTTAAGAAGATGTATTCTGTAGGTGAGCAAAATATTACAGCTTTCTGGTAAGTAAGTTGCTTTCCATGCAATTCTATAAAATTTAGAGTCTCAAATAAAGTTAGTTCAGAATACTATTATTATTGTCCCCCAGTTAAAGAAAATATCCCTCCAATAGCACCTATGTTTTCTTGTGCTCAATTGGTTTTAAACTAGAGTCCAAGTATCGCAAT